TGTGAGACGGAGTGAGAGAGAGAGAAAGTTAGAAAGAGAATCTGAGTGAGAGCGTGTGAGAGAGAGAAAGAAAAAGAGAATATGTGTCTATATGAGAGAAGGAATGAGAGAGGAAGAGAGAAGGCTGGAGGGAGAGAGAGAACGATCATGTAAGTGAAAAAGATAGAGAGAGAAAGAGAGAGTAGGAGAAGGTCAGTCTGTGAGTGAGAGAAAGATTGTGTGAGATAGATAGATAGATAGATAGATAGAGAGAGAGAGAGAGAGAGAGAGAGAGAGAGGAAAATTTCTTGTAAAAGTAGAAAAACAATATTGCGGATTTAAATTATTATCTGAGACATAAACGATCGTTGACGTATTGAAAAACATTGACGACAATGTAGTATTTTTGGTGTAATGTTTAATAGACGTAAAGGTATCGCCATATATATATATATATTTTCTACTACTGTGTTTGTGTGTGTGTGTGTGGAAAGACAGAAAGGAATTCGTAGGTTTAGTCAAATTTATAAGATCACAACGAAGTGCTTATTTTTGTGAGCTGGAAAAAGAAAGTGTAGAATTTTTTTTTTCTAATTGAAATATCAAGATGACTATATCGCACACACACAGACAATACCGAAAAAAAATGAAAAAAAAAAAAAAACGATTATGGAAACATCGAAGCATTAGTGGTTCGTAAAACAGATTTCAACTTCACAGTTGAAAATAAACAATTTATAAAGATTGGCCAACCAAAAAACAAAACGTGGCCTTTTATTTTTAGGAATCAGGATGGTATTTTAGAAAGCAGAAAACAAAATTAGTTGGTTTATCTACATTTTATCAATTTTTTCAGGTTCTGATTTTTGTCTTACTTTTCCGGTCTCCACATTTATTTAAACCACAAGAATCCGCTAAGGCTTGACTGATTTCTGTGGACATAAGAATTAAAAATCGAAATCTTCGTTATTTTAAAATTCATTTTGTTAATATTTTGTATTAAACATGAGATTCATTTTTATGAAATGCAGTTTAATCCAGAAATACATTAAAGAAACAGAAAGGCAGCACTAATCTGTACAATAGGGAAGGCCTACTTTTCTTGAAATTCAACTAGGTTTTTTATCTGGATTCAAAACCCAACCAGTAGCTCTAACGAAAAATAGACAGCTATTTCAGTTACCAAATAATACGTTATGTATCAATATATATATGTATATATATATATATATATATATATATATATATATATATATTGCATACATTCTTCTCACTTTAAACGTTATTTTTAATTTTTTATATTTCAGTAAATGCTCCGTTTATTTTAAACAGTATATTTATTTATTTCCGACCAGACAAGCAACAGGAACAACGATGTAATATGTGGCTTTAATAGATTTTTGCCATACATATATTTTTATATATATATATATATATATATATATATATATATATATATATATATAATTTTAAAACCAGGAGGTCAGTTGAATACGTGACCTTGGTTTCGACCTTACAGTGTCATTGGGCGATGTCTCTCTCTCTCTCTATATATATATATATATATATATATATATATTTTTGTGTATTTAGGCAGTAAATGTTCTTTAAGGCAAATATTCTTAAAAGCGACAGAAATTTTGTGTCGATTAATTTTAATGATAGACTTTTCTAAGTTACGAATAATCCTTTTCAGACAAAGATGAAATTCCGTCAGAAATTGTCCGAAGTTCATTTCGAAAGAAAAGTACAGGAAATATGGTCCGACCTTTCGACTTTCTTAAGTCATCATCGAGACAGTTAGTGAGTGTAGTAAATGATTAATTCTTTTGAGGCTCATCTTTATTCTCAAAGAAAAAAAAACTGAGCACTTCAAAAAGGCCTCTTTTTAAATGATTGCTATCAGACTGTGACTTCCGATAGTAGAGAATAACTGAAAACTGGATGCCGAAATAGTGTTCTTGTTTTTTTGGTTTAAACATCCTTTTGAAATTATTACATCGTTGTTCCTGTTGCTTTTATCTCTCAGAATAATTAAATTCCTGTCTTCAACTGCCATTGTTCATAAATTCTGAGGATTGCTTTTAAAAAGGTACTTAATATTATATGAGCGTGCAATAATTGATTCCTTGCATATACAGCAAAAAGCTTTATTTTGCTCAATAACATTGTATTTTTCACTTCACTCTTCGGGAAAAAGGCTCCCATTTCCACTTCATTCTGAGCTTATTTTTCTTTTCTTTGTGGCCATTCTTATGAGGTATTTTTAAAGTCACAAATAAATTCAGAATAGTCTCAAATGTTAAATTATCCGAGCAGACACTAAAAATAGATGGGACTAAGATTGACAAAATGCCAAGTCAGACCCAACCAGTAACAATACAAAACGTTATAAAACTGGTTGAGTATGAGTGTTTAGCTATACACAAGGCTCGATCAAAACTCGAAAATATCACTAAATTTGATTGGCTGAGCTATGTTTCATGACGTCATTCTTTGATAGGTCAGTTCAGGACTTGCGGGTTAGTGGTTGGCCAACTCTACTCTAGATGGACTGCCTTTCCGGGCTAATGTGCTCCATCTACCGACATAAGCATATATAAGAAGATATATTGAAGATGAAACTGTGTGAAGCTAGAAATGGTGAGCGTTCATATGTTTGTCATGCGAAACATGATTTACTTAGTTCATGGTAACAGATTAATGAAATGCTTACAATCCGACATTTATTACTCTCCTCTCCACAAATGTACCGATGATGTTTAGTCAATATACAGCGCATGGCAATGAGTAAACTTCACTGAAGATGAAAAAAAATGACAAAAAAAACTCCCAAAAAAACAGAAGCATGCTTTACAAAACTATACTTACAAACATAGTCAACGTTTATACATAACATGCCAGGCAGAGTTATGCATATATATCTTCAAAACAATGTCTAGGACCATACATATATGTACACATATATGAATAAATGAATAAAAGTTGACGGACAGATCGATATAACATGATGCCAGGGATTCAAGAAATGATATGATCTGCCAGGTGAATCGTCTTATGGATGGATGAAATGCAATATGTATCGATGCGATATGTATTTTATGAAAATGCGAGCGAAATGTTGCGACAGATATTTATTTTAATACTTCTGTTGCCATCAAGATTTCCACATTAAACAATGGGATAAATTTTAAAGTTATGTGCATGAAAAAAGGTGTTAACATCATATGAAAGATGGCGTGAACATCATCATCGTTTATAGCAAACATTATTTTTTAAAACATCACGCTGTAATTAGATTTGTGTTGTATTGGATCGTACTAATCCGCTATATATATATATATATATATATATATATATATATATATATATATATATATATATATATTATTTTACGATATTAAAACATGTTAAAAATTACCATACAATTTCAATTGTGTTTCGACACCATAAATGTGTCTCTTCAGGTGATGTTAAACTGCTGGCGAGTGAAAGATTAATTAAATTTCAAAAAGCAGACTACTCTAAAAAAAAGACTTGTGTGCCTTACCGAGATTAACCAATCGAATGTCACCTACGTTAAATTCAAATTCGCTGGATTTAAAAAAAAAAATAGGCCATAGCACGAAGTTATCTGCATATAAAACCTAGACAATTTCTCTATTAGCAGACAGAGATTGTTACATTATTTCGTAAGGTGTATCGAAGTCTGACGCTCAAACCTCGCAAGAAGCAAAAGCGAAAGAGATGGGGAGGTAATTTAACATAATATGTTCGTTCAGTTTATTCTGCTTTTTTAAATTTAATTAATCTTCCACTCGCCAGTAGTTTAACATCGCCTGAAAAATACATTAAACATGTTTTAATATCATAAAATAAATAATATTTAGCTCTATTCTGTATTGAGCCTTTTTAAAATTAAATGTTACGCATAGTGGAATCATACTCCATCTGTTCTCATTTTACTGGGGTATATATATATATATATATATATATATATATATATATATATATATATATATATATTTAAGTGATGAAAAACTTGTTAATCCGTATGGGTAATCCCAAGGAGGGTGAAATCGTGAGGGCTCAATGTAAATCCAGAGCTAATATTTTAAAGAAAAACAGACCACTTTAAGGTTCCATTATAATAATTTATTTCACCAGAGCCCATTTAAAGGACTACGGATCATCAGATGATAATAATAATAATAATTGTTATCATTTATATAGCATTTCTTTAGGCTGATCTATAGTCAAGGATACATGGTTAAGTGCTATCTGATGATCCGGAGTCCTTTAAACGGGCTCTGTGAAATAAATTATTATAATGGAACCTTAAAGTGGTCTGTTTTTTTTTTATATTATATATATATATATATATATATATATATATATATATATATATATATATATATATATGTGTGTGTGTGTGTGTGTGTGTGTGTGCGTGCGTGTGTGTGTGTGTGTATTATCATATATGTAAATATATAGATGCAGGTAAAATACAGATATAGACATGAAGAAATAGAAATTCACAGATCAATACATGGCACATACAATATATAAAACCGGCAAATTTCCGGAGCTCATCGCACCAAACACTTTGGAGGAAAAAATATTCATGCGGCTACAAAACTTATTTAATTTGCATTTGTATAAACAGTTAATTTGACTTAAGACGGTTCAGAGGTCCCAAAATTAATTGTCTAAAACTAATAGTTTATCGAATTTTTTTTATATAGATTGATTTTGGGACGCCTTAGATAACGATAAAATTTTGGGACTTAAAAAAAAAAGAAAAGTTGTTTTCGTCCATTTGAAATTTGACAGATCTGAAGCTCAGCGGACTTTGTGTAAAAGCTTGGCATGCATAAAGCGCAACTGAAGCAGCAGCAGCAGCAACAGCAGCAGCAGAAGCAGCAGGCATTTTAGTGGAAGGAAACGGAAACGACGCCATATTTTAAAATGGAGGGTGGTGGTAATGATGGAGTGCTTGAGTATGGTATGACAATATGGTTCTAAGTGCTTGCATGAAAGATTGTGTGCTTATATGGAAGGAGAAAAAGAAATGAAAGAGAGATGGAAGAAGGAAAAAAAGATAAGAGGAGAGAAGTAGAAAGAGGTGAAGAAAGAGAGAGAGGGCGAGAGAGAGAGGGCGAGAGAGAGAGAGGGCGAGAGAGAGAGGGAGAGAGAGTGAGGAAAAGGCAGATAAAAAGAAAGTGTAAAAGAACGACAGGAGAGGAAGAGAGAGAGAGAGAGAGAGAGAGAGAGGGAGAAAAGGGAGAAGAAGAGAAAGAGGGAGGGAAGAAAGTAACACAAGAGAAAAATAGAACGTATAGAAAGAAAAGCAAAGAATGACAGTGAGTTGAAGAAAGAGAGGAAAGTACTAAAGAGAATGAGAGAAGAGATATAAAAAAAACTAATAAGAAAAGGACAGAGAGAAAAGAGAAGAAGGATAAAAACGGGCAAAATAAAAGGAAGAGATATGGACAGTAAAAGAAAAGGCTAAATAAGAGAAAAATATATATATATATATATATATATATATATATATATATATTCATACATGTTTTGTTGTATAATATCTACAAGTTCTGTCTATCAAATTTTGATTAAATTTTTCAAATTTCAGAATTAGTTCAAAGTTCACATTTATTTTTATTTTATATTATTCCCCCCAACCCCGAGTACTACATTGCAAAAATTCGTTTTCAAGGATTGGGTTTTGTGTATGTTTATAGGACTGTTTTGGGGTTAATTCCGTTTGCTGGGACCAATTACGTGTCACACAAGGTGATGTCATTTAAAAATTTCAGTTTGACCGTTTATTATTGTAGATATTATCCAACCAAGCATTTTTGAAAGTATTATTGCTGCCTGAAATACACTTTTTTATATATATATATATATATATATATATATATATATATATATATATATATATATATATATATAGAGAGAGAGAGAGAGAGAGAGAGAGAGAGAGAGAGAGAGAGAGAGGTAGACGAATATAAAAAAGAAAAGAAGAGGAAAAGCCAGAGAGATAGAAGTTATAAGGAAAGGTCTGTTGGAAGGAAATGCTTTATGATTGATTTATTTATTTTACAAGCCAACGGAGGTAAAATACGTCATAAGCATATTTTGACGGGGATATCTACCGAAAAAAAACAAAAACAAAAAAACTGAAAAGACTTCGGTCAATGCTGCAGACATCAGTGCATACGCATAACGCTGCTTTACTTGGTGCAGTGGGGAGTTACTTTATGGAGAACCTACGAAGGGCTTCAGTTCTTTTTATGATTCTCAATCACTTGTCAGAGGGAAACGAGCTTAAATCTATCTATCTGTCTAGCTATCTATCTATCTAAAATAAAAGTGGTTAAAATCCTCGGCCCGACTAAGAAAGGATTTTAAAATTTTTAATTGTTGTTTTTTTTTTTTAAATATATAATCATTGCAACACCGAAATTCCTATGTCTCAAAACTGAAACTTCAATTTAAATTCAACTATACAAATTAAACTTAAAATACAAAGTTCCGTTCCATTATCAAGCGATGCTAAGAATAACTTTTTAGAAATTGATTCACTTAGTTTATAAATCCAGACAAATTTGATATTTTTAGATGTTGGGGGTTAAGGAAAATTCCAACTTTTTTTATCTTAGGGGTGTTAAGATTTAGCATGTTTAAAATTATGCTCTACTGTTCTATCGAGCACTGTTTTTAAAAATAAAATAAATGCTAAGAACTGAATTATATATATATATATATATATATATACATTCGAAGCTAATACTCTTAGGAAAGGTGTGAATCCTCTTCTTCTCCCTCCAGCTATGGGTAAATAGCAGGGCAGACTGGATTCTATAGCCTTTGATGGCAACTGGTCTAGGAGAAGGACAACTCTGAATTCAAAACCTGCGGAGGGTCGTTTGGGGTCCTTGTGGCACACAGTGCACCAGGCCTCCGTATTCGGCCCTTCAAAAAGTGTGGATGGTCCTGCCCGAAACCTTCACCATTATAATCAAATCTCATGTGCTGGTGTCGGGCTGTCAGTTTCCTAGGAACTGATCTGCTTGACGAATACGTCGAATTCGAGGGGAGTGTCGAGTATATATATATATATATATATATATATATATATATATATATATATATATATATATATATATATATATCGGGGAGAGAGAGAATGAGAGATTTTACAAAAGAATGAAGATGATTTTACGAAAGAATAAGGATAAGTAAAACAAATAGTTTCTATTTTCTACATTAACCCTTCGACCCCTGACCACCGCTTTACCTGTGGTAGAGAAAATGATGTAATGCCCAGCCACTGGTTGAACAGTGGGTAAACACTTGTAACTATTTTTATATTTACCGTGAAACGTTACATATCAATTATTTGCGAATTTTGACTCAGGTGCTCAGGGTTAACATTGTTCAGAAACGCATGGCTCAAAGGGTTAAGGCAATTAATAATAATTACACGTATATAGAGTAAATAATTACAGAAACACATACAGAGGCACACAGACGCGCATACACAGACACGTACATACAGATAGATAGATAGATAGATAGATAGATACAGAGAGAGTGGGGGAGAGCGAGAGAGAAACAGAAAGAAAGAGAGTGTGCTTCACTTTGAGTGTCACTGACCCAATCACACTATGTACCGTGACTTTTCAGGGCGTGGGCGATCATGGTTCCCCACAACTTCCTTTGTAGCTCTTAGCAATGTTTGTCTATCGTTTTTATCTCTCCTATAGAACCCAGTCTGTCCTACTATTTACCCATAGATGGGGAACTCATTAATCAAGCGAAATTGTTCTAGCGAGACAAGCTGGCTAACCATTATACCGCGTCGAAATGACGCAATTGATATTTCTATAACAATTTTACTAAGCCTAGCTTAGATATGGCACAAGGTCGAAAGTGTGAAGCACCCATTGAGAATCGAAGTCAGTACTCAGTCGTAATTGATCTAATGAGAAAAGCTTGGTAACCATTACTCCACGCCGAAGTGCCGAAAGCCGCTTATAGATATAGTGATTTTCCAAGCGTAGCTTAGATGTGGTACAAGGCCGAAAGTGTGAAGCACCCATTGAGAATCGAAGTCAGTACTCAGTCGTAATTGATCTAATGAGAAAAGCTTGTTAACCATTACTCCACGCCGAAGTGCCGAAAGCCGCTTATAGATATAGTGATTTTCCAAGCGTAGCTTAGATGTGGCACAAGGCCGAAGGTAGGGGGCACCCAGTGAGGATTGAACTTACTACTCACTCGTAATTGTTTTAGTGAAACAAGCTAAAAGTATGGGGAGTCCAGTAAGGATCGAACTCACTATTCAGTCGTAACTGTTTTAGCGAGACAAGCTTGTTAACCATTACACCAAGCCGAGGTGCCCAAATGTGTCTAGTTGATACCTCACTGACATTGGTGGGATTCGAAACCAAGTTTCATGGACAGGAGACAAACATCCTAACCACATGGATACGCGCCTGTCGTAATTTTTCAAGTGTAGCTTACATGTGGCCGAAGGTATGGAGCACCCAATAAGGGTCGTACTAACTCTTCAGTCGTAATTGATCTAGTGAGAAAAGCTTGCTAACCATTGCACCAGACGAGTTGTGAAAATATATAACTTTTGTTGTTCCATTTACAAAACATTATTTATGAATAAATGCAAAGCATCTCGGTTACTGGTGGGTTTTCCTTCATCGCCTAACTCTCAAATGAATTCGTACCTATCATTAATTATTTATTATTATTCTTTAGCCGTCCTCAAAAGTCAATCAAGCTAAATCAAACTTACATGCTATCATTTAAAATAAAAATAATTTCAACTTTCATCGTCCACTAAAATAGTGGCTTAGTGGCAAAATCTTTTAGTTTCTTGACAACAGAGTTAATGTTTCAAACTCTAGAATATAATGTAAACAGATATTTGTGAACAGTTGAACAGATTTGTTCCGTCCAAGACCGTCATAAAAAATTAATTTGAATAATAATAATGATTTTATAATTGTAAATAAGAACAGGAAAACCTGGTAAATTAAATGAAGATGTGACTGTATTAGCGGGTCAGCCAATGAAAAGGTAAGAAATCGAAAAATTCCTTTATAATATTTTTTATATTAATGTTATGAATGAGGTGTGATATGAATGAAAGATGGATTATGAAGATAAGTATTATGAAGATAAGGATTATGAAGATAAGGAGGATAAATAAAGATTTAACTTGAAAAGATTAACATTGTAGTCGAAGCATGCATGTTGGAGTCTGTCCCATAAAGTTTTCTCTGGGAAAATGCTGTTTGAGTTTCCTTAAAATTTTAATACAGGGAAAACGGTGGGGGTGGGGGGCGTCTTTGTTAATTATATACTACTCGAAAAGAGTGCTAAAATTAATTTACAAATAGTTAAGCAAACGGTTGGGGTGAGCGACACTTTGATCTTAAGCAGAGCGCACATGTACAGTCGGATAATGTACTTAGTCCCAATCCTCTCCATAAGGTAGGACGTCTCTCAAGGTCTGTTTAATGTGGGCTGCCCATACGCCTATCTATGGGCCAAGGACAAAAATTAACAAGTCCACGTGATCCCTGTCACATTGACGTTGGTAACCAGTGTAGGAGAAGGACAACTCTGAATTCAAAACCTGATGTAGATTTGGTGAAGCACGTATTATGCAGCTAACAAACGAATCGTGGAGTTCACAATGACTCTAGGATCCCGACTGCGGTCAGAACTTAATAAAAATAGAAAGAAAATGCTAATGAAAAAAAATGCCCCGGTGAAGTAGATACTACATGCAGCTAATGAATGAATGTAGATGCTATATGCAGCTAATGAATGAATCATAGAGTTCAAATTGGCTCTATGATCCAGACTGCGTTCGACTTCATTCATTCATTCTAATGTCCATAAAGTAGATGATTACTTATCTATCACTTTTTTTTTAATGTCATATCTCTTCAGGATGTTAGCGATTGCGACACTCCACATTTTCTTTCTTTATTATCTGTGAATTACCGTGTCTTCTTGGGAAAGATAGTGGAGTGGTTTCCATTACGTCTCCATAATTTTGAATTCATCATTTTTCTACTCTTAGATTTGGTTACAAACCAAGACTAGAAAGCCTTCAACTTTGCTATTTAACCGATAACTGAGGAGTTGGACGAGAGAAAAAGAGACGGATTCACAGATTTCCCAAAGGGCATTGATGCGAAAGTGAATGCAACAGAATTGGAAGCAATATATTTAAAGACTGAAATGTGAACACCTTAAAAAATATACAATCGTTTTTCACGGTGCGGGTAAGGTAGGATTAATATAAGGTTCTACTATACATAAAGTGGAGGCTCCCATTTCTGTTGTTATCATGCAATAAACCAATTCAGTGCTGGGTTTAGAAAAAACAAAACAAAAACAGACTCTAAGCTATTCCATTCGTGAGGCCTCTGACTTACACGACTAGATTAGGATGCAAGTGTGTTTTAAATAATTCCAGTAGAGTCAGGGATGATGACAGGGGTTTAAAATTATGCAGTTTACAATTCCTTTTCGAAAGGGCATCATATTTTCTTGTTAAATGTCGTCGTGATGCCTAAATGTTAAAATTAACACAATGAAAATCTTTTGGTGTAAACGAACGCAAGAAAGAATTATAACAGTTTAAAAAATATTATAAACCCTAGCTGGAAGGCTTTAATGTTAGGTTTTGAGGCACTCAGTTTCAACCTACCAAGGTTATACATAAATCTAACCCTTCAGAATTCCTACATATTAATATAATTTAAAGACTCATATGCGAATGCTTTTTAATAATAGCAAGGGCTTAAAATATGCCAGCATTTTTTTGACAAAATGGGAAAACCTGTGTAATATGTGATTCACACCGGGATATAGCAGACAATCTGAATCGAATATCTGACCCCAATATATACTAGGACACTTCAGATGATGCAAAAATAGACTTTACTGTCAGTGTCACACGAGAGCATCAGAGAAGCCAGGTGCATCAGCGGGTTAACCTGGACGGTAAACTTCTAGCTCCCATGTGCAGATACGCACCAGACAAGTGGTCAGTAATATCTCCCGACATCTACACTGGTTGTCGATCCGGCTGCGTTTAGGATGTTCAGTGGGACAACCGGATAACAGGAAGATATATAAACACCCACCAAAGAGGGAAAAGGCAGAGAGCCTTTCACATCTTCGTGTGAGGAAGATCCACGTACGGAGAAAAACCTTATACACTTGACGATATTAACTGACGAAGTCCAGGTATGAATAAACTTTAACAATTTTATGTATGAGTGATTTAGTTTCGTGTTAGTCTGTACAAAGATAACCTGTCGCTAGTAACTGTTATATAAGTCACAGGAACGGAGAAAATGTGTGACTAATTTGCTAGTATATATTCTAAATAAGTCTTTCTTTTTCAAAGGACAAATCAGTTATCGCTCAATTTTTCTGAAATCTTCTCAGCGTTTATCTTTATCGGATTATGCTAAATGATTCTTACAGGTGTGCTAGAGAAATCAAATCAAAATGACAACTTTTTCGAATTTTTTAAATTCAATAATAACGCAACGTGATTAAAAACGGAAAAGAATAAAAAGGACGTAGGAAGGAAAAAAATGAACTGAAATTTTGTAACTTTTCTAAGTCTTTGTTAAATTCATAACTTTCTAATCTGCGACAAATTGAGTTGATATCCACAGATGCGCTTAGTTACGAATGGCAAAGCGTTTCAGTGTTATTTTATAACCGAATGACGAAATATATATATATATATATATATATATATATATATATATATATATATATATATATATATATATATATATATATATATATATATATATATATATATATATATATATATACTTAGGTTCTTTTCTTGTGCGACTTACGAAATGTATTTAACTCTTACTCATAAAAAGTTGCAAGAGAAAATATAATTTTCATAACTTCATAAGTAATTATTTAAAAAAAGAAAAGAAAAAAGAAAACAATCAATCTTCGTAGCTGAGTGGCATAAAGTTAGCCGGATAAGACGATAGATCCTCCTATGAAGGAGAACACAGGTTCGAATACTGCTGGAGGATACATTTTCTTTATTAAGTTTTCTACGGTAGACGAAACAAACCCTGTTAAAAAACAAAAAAACAAAAAAAAAAAAAAACAGAGCGTTCTGATCATCTACGTTTCAATCTATAGCGATATAGTTAACTCCGTTTATGATTAAATAAAGAAAATCATTATACATTTCTATATAGTTAGGTGTTTTTTTTTTATAAACAATATATTTTCTTTTCTCTTTTTTAAGAATAAAATTGAGATTTCGCGTTTGTTTGATTTATCATCATGGATCAAAGTTTGCACGCATCCCCCGACCGAAAAAAATATATTGAAAATCAATTTGTTCGATTTCTAATATTTTTTGTATAAATTAAAACGGAATCATTATTGTAAATTCGATTTTTCTTTTGTAAGTTTTCGACATA